GAGCTTCTTCCCACACTCTGGGGGTGCACCCAGCACAGGGGGGGTTCTGGGCTCAAGCACTCACTGAAGCTGGGTCATGGGGAGCTTCTCACACGACATCCCAAGTCCTTCTCCTCAGGCTGCTCCATCCAGTCTCTGCACAGCCTCTATTTCTGGGGCAGCACCAGTCCCAACATCAACCCCTGAGGAACACCACTCATCAGTCGTCTCCGTCTGGACACGAAGCCATTGACTACAACTCTTTGCGTGCAACCATCCAGCCAATTCTTTATCCACTGAGTGGTCCATCCATCAAATCCATGTTTCTCCAGTTTAGAGACAAAGATGTTGTTCAGGGCAGTGTCAAAGCTTTGCACAAATTTCCAAGGCTCATGAGAGCAGGGTTTATCCTGTCCATCCCTGTGTTCCTGTGTGCAACCAGCTCCGCCACTGGAATCAGCTACAAAAGGTGGGGATGGGACCCACCTAAACTCCCCTTCCTGCCATGTCCTGTGGATCTCAGCTTCATCCTTGGACCTTTTTTATCCAGGATCTTGTTTGCTGACAGCCTGAAGAAATCAGCCCTGGAAAGGCTGATTGGAAATTCATATTAAATTGACTTGGAAAGTCCTTTGAGCTCCCCAAAATGGGGAAATGGAGCCCATTGTAATGCCCCAGTAAAGCTATTCCTGTTCATGTATCCTAGAAATCCATGTCCTCATTCCCAGCAGGGTTTGCTCCTTGGCTTTCTCTTGGCTCTTGTTCCATGAGTGTGAGTGGGGGACCAGCCCTGAGCTCTTGTGCCAAGGTGCAGAGTCCCACCAGTGTCAGTGAAGTCCCTGCAGGTCACAGCATCACCCCAGGGTAGGTGGTAGCATGACTGAAAGTCTCCTTTAATATCTACTCAGAGAAAGCCAACGGAGGTTGTTCTTTGCTCCAGGGGATTGTTTCTTCTGTTTCCTTCAGGATCTGGATCTCTCCTACAATAACTTGTCTCCCCAGGACATTAGGACATTGGGAGACTTGTCCCAGCTCAAAGTCCTTCGCTTGACGGCCAATGGGCTTCGGTCCCTGCCTCTGGACCTGGAGTAAGTGCACACAAGTGATGCTTGGGTTTGCTGGGGAGGTGCTGGTGGGATCTGGAGGGGCTGGCAAGGGTGGGCAGCCTGGGATTTATCCAGCTGGAGAGCGGAGCTCTTCCCTTGCAAACTGGAAATGGCTCGTGCTGGATGGCAGGGAAGTGTTATCCTGGTTCAGCCCAGTTAACCCAGGGTATCTGCTGTCATCATCAGCTGGAGAAGAACCCCTGGACAGGGATTCAGCAGCCCTGTTGGTGGCCAAGCCACATGAGTAGGATGCTACACAATGAGGATGGTAAAACACTGGCACAGGTTGCCCAGAGAGGTGCTGAATGCCCCATCCTTGATTCAAGGCCAGGCTGGAAGTGGTTCTGGGCAGCCTGGTGTAGTTGAAGATGTCTCTGCTCATTGCAGGGGGGTTGGACTAGAGGAGCTTTGAAGGTCCCTTCCAACCCAAACCCTTCTATGATTTATTCATCATAAATTAGACCCTTCGCACACAGCTCAGCCACAGCTGCCATGCCAAGGTAACCACTGTTTGCCACTGGTGGAGGTCAGATGCTGAGCTGGATGATTTACTGGGTTCAAGCTGGAACAGGGGAAGTTCAGGTTGGATCTAAGGCAGAAGCTCTTCCCTGTGAGGGTGCTGAGGCGCTGGCACAGGGTGCCCAGAGAAGCTGTGGCTGGCCCAACCCTGGCCGTGTTTCAGGCCAAGGTGGGCATTTTGGGTCTGGGAGCAACCTGCTCTAGTGGAAGGTGTCCCTGCCCGTGGCAGGGAATGGAACTGGAGGAGCTTTAAGGTCCTTCATCCCAAACCAGGCTGGGATTCTATGACTCCATGCTTGTTTGGACTGATTAAATTTAGCTGCTTGGAGGTAGGATATCAGTTTTCTCTGGAAAGAATGAAACCAGCCCCAGTCCCATCTCCTGGTGGATACATCTTTCTGTGGTGACAGCAAATGATGTTTCTCACCTGTCTGTGCTTGAGCATGTTTTTTAAGGAGATTGTTTGTATCCACAGCTCTCCTCAATTAAAGTTTCCATCTCTGGAGGTCTTGGCACTGGACGACAACCGTCTGTCAGACCCAAGTGTCTTTGTGAGCCTGTCCCACCTCTGCTGGTAAGGAAGCACCAAGCAGCAGACAGACAGTGCCAAAAGCTCCCCCTTTGGCTTTTGGGGGCTGGCAACTGCCTCCCTCATCTGTTGCACAGCAGAAGCCTTAACATGAAACCCCAAATCCTTGTGATTCACTTGGATTCTTCCCTGCTTAATCTCTCTGTTATTGCAAATGGGACCAAATGGAAGCAAACAGCTGCCAAGCAAAACCTGGCCAAACCCGGCAGGTTGGCTGGTAAGTCAGCTCCTGCCCTGGGATTCTGCTGATCTCCAGGTCTGATGTGAGACATGGCAGTTGCTGTCTCCATTTTCCTTTCTTTGCCTTGGATTCATCCTTGATTTCAGCACAGCAGCATTAGGAAGGGCTGTGGATCAGCTTCCTCTGGTTAACGTGGGCTTTCATGGTTCACCTACAGACAAGTCACTAGGAGGGAGGCTGTTCACAAGCCCCTCAGTTAGGCTGTGCTGGGTTTGGGGACAGCCTCTGATATCCCCCTTGGCTTCCAGTGCTGCCAACTGGAGGTGGGAATTGGCTGTTTGTTGCCCTGGCTTTGCCAGGACATTCCCAGAGGAAACTGCCCATTGTCCACAGCGTCAGTGAGAGAGGAGGGGGAATGGGTGAGGTTTAGGCACCAGACTGTGGGGCTGGAGTGCAGAGGTTTGGGTTTCTGCTCTTCCCTAAGCTGTCTCGTGACCTTAAGCACGTGCATTGGTGATGTTATACTTCCATGGTTAGGGAATCCCAGCAGGACCACATCAAAGCACTGGGTGATGTAATGAAGTGCCAGGATGTCTCCTTGTCTGTTAAATTCTCCTCAGGAGATGAGCTTAGAGATAGGTGACCCTGGTGTGGGGGACCAGAATCATGGGCTTCAGAGGCAGCACCAGGCTGTGCCAAGCACTGAGCCTGTTGGGATTTGGAGAGGAAGGGACATGGAGCAATGAGATGGGGATGTCACGGATGCATCCGCACTGCTGCTGGGAAGCCCACCAAGGAGCAGGTCGAGGGCCAGCTCCCTGCCCTGTGTGCTCCAGGGTGAACAGATGGCTGGGTACATGCACTGACAGCAACCACGGAGTTTCTCACATGTTTCCTCTTCCCACAGCCTGAAGGAGCTGAATCTGGACGGGAACAGGATTCCGGCTGTCCCCTACCTGCGCCAGGCAGAGAGCAGGCACTTCTCCCTGCACCCCGCGCTGGGCCACAGCAGCTTCAGGGCACAGTGGTACAGATCCTTGAGCAGCCTCCGGCGCCAGTCCCGGCCGTCACAGCAGGAGAGCGGGGAGGTGCCAGGAGAGCTGGAAGCAAAGAGAGGTCAGGTTGGATGTGTCATGCTACAGGATGAAGGGGGTCCAGCTGGGCTGGGTGAGCAGCACCTGCCTGTCCCTGCCTGCACTGCAACCGGGGGGGGTTCAGTGGGAAAGGGCTCAGTTATGTCAGGGTGAGGATCTGGGTGTTTACTGGTAAGTGAAGCTGCTTCACAGAGTTAAAACAATGAGGGAGGGACACATGGGACCATTTTAGGCAGCTGAGAGAACCTGTAAAGTCCCTCTGCATTTACTGGGAGCAAGGGGTGCTCACTGGATGTGAATCACCCCAAAGCAGACATCTCCCATGGGCTGAAGTGCCTCTTTCTCTCTCCTGGCCTCCTCCAGGGTAGCTTGCTCCAAAGGAGACATTTCATGCTGACTGGGAGGAAAACTGGCAAAAGTGGGGCAATGATTCCAGTTAGGAAGTGGTGACTGTGATCCTGGGCAGGCAGAGGGCAGGAATGTTGCGTGAGCACAGGTCTGCGTTCTGGGGTAGGTCAGTTTTCCCCTCTGGATGTCCTTACTGAAGTGTGATGCACACACCATGCTGGATCATGCTATGGGATGGATCCAGAGGCTGCCTGGTGTCTCCTGTGTGGACCAGGCTGTGATGGAGGCTGCCAGTGCAGCTCCTCCAAGCACTTCTCCTGTCCCCTGGCTCACTGCAGCAGTCCCTGTTGTTGGGTGTTTGTGGAGCAGGCAATGGTACCACTTCTAGCACTGGCTTGGCAATAGCAGCACAATGTGGAAAGGCCTCATGCTCATGGGTGAGACTCCAACCCCAGATCTACCTGCAGGGAGCTCCTGGCTGCCCTGAGGCCAGTAGCAGGGTTTCTACTGTATCCAGGGATATGAACCTCCCCTAAAACAATGGGGCTGGCAGCCAACCTGCTGTGGTGTGACTGATCCTCCCTCACCTTGGCTATGTCTTGCCATGAAGACAGATCCTGCCTGATGCTAACTTGCTTTCCCAGGCTAATTCCAGCCTTGCCATGGCTGGGGCTGGCCCCAGTGCTTGGCTACATGTAGAAACCCTCACTTTGCTTGTGTTTCATTGCAGAGGTTTCTCAGTCTGGCTCTCAGGAAGACCCAACACGGGTAAGAACCACTGGCTGCTCTGTAGGTTGAGGTCTGTGCACCAAAACTCCCCTCCCCAAGCCTCTCAGCTGAGTTTCAATAAGGCTGTGGGTGCTGCTGGGACTCTGGGTGCCTGCAAGGCTTGCAGTGAGTACTGACTCTCACCTGGGAGATCAGAACCAAGGTTTCCCATAACCAAGGGACAGTGGGGCTTAAACTTGTACCACTTTCAGATGAAGGCTGGATCACTGTTTGCTCATAGAACCCCAGCCTGGTTTGGGTTGAAGGGACCTTAAAGCTCCTCCAGCCCCAACCCCTGCCCCGGGCAGGGACACCTTCCACTAGAGCAGGTTGCTCCAAGCCCCTGTGTCCAACGTGGCCTTGAACACTGCCAGGGATGGGGCAGCCACAGCTTCTCTGGGCACCCTCTTCCAATGCCTCATCAAGGCACTGTGACCTTCTCCTCCACGTTTATTTACATGCTGTTCTCCAGAATCAGATATTTGAAGCCAAAGACCATGAGTTTTATTACCACTCGAGTAAGGGGCTGAGCTTCAGAGGTGCTGAGCACATGCAGCATATTCCAGTGCAACACACGTGCACACACTCCCTGAGAGCACAGGGTTTCCCCTTGGCCCTGTGCATGTTTTCAGTGCTGGATGATGGAGTTTGATGCTTTGGACATCCCTGGAGGGCTCCCACAGTAACACAGAAGCCAAAGCAACCTCCAAAGTGGGGTGGAACCAAAAGCTCTTTAATTTATAGGTGTGTTTGGGACGCAGGAGGGCAGTGTCCTGCCACCAGAGCCTCTGGAGCAGTGTTTCTGCTCACACTCTTCCTCCTCTCTCTCAGGTTGTTCCCAAGGAGGGAGAACCATCTACCTCAAAGCCTCTGCTGCCTCCCTCCACACGCAGGAATGTTCATGCTCCCTTTCCTGCACTGAGGAGTCTCAGCCTGGCCTTCAACAAGGTGATGTGGGTCCTGTGGGTCTGGACAGTGCAAAGCTTCAGCTGCCTGAGCTTGGCATTAGTGCCCTGTGAGACACCCTGGCCTTGAGCTGCCCCTGCAGCAGGACACGTCTCCCCCAGGCTCCTGTGTCCATGTGCCAGCCCATGGGGATGTGTCACATATGCAGGACCTCTCAGGTGGGAGAGGATGCCTGTTTAGGCAGCTGGATTGCACCCAGCTTGTCCAACCCCTGCAAATTCAGGGATTTCATTGGAATTGTAGAATCATAGAATCAACTGGGCTGGAAAAGACCTTTAAGATCATCAAGTCCAAGTCCATGGAGAATATAGGATTGCCCTCCCCTTGCTGGAGCTGCCCAGTGGATGATGATGTCTCATTGATGCCTTTGGTGGTTAGTGTCAGCTTATAGCTGTCTGCTGAGCCCCACTAGTTCTCAGTGATCCCCAACAGACAAATAACATACAACAACATTTAATCTCCTTTTCCTGCTGCTTTTGACTCCTGCCCATGCCTTGACTCATGCTGCTTCCCAACCAGATGAGCTGGCAGTGCTGAGTTACCACTGCTCGGTGCTGGGCATCCCCTGGGACGTGACGGGTGGCTCTCCTTGCTCACTAAGCAAGCTCAGCTGCTATTCCCTGTGTTGTGACTCTCTTTCAGGCCACTGCCTTGTCAGAGAGCTGGTTTCTGGCTGCAGTGCCCTGGCCAGGCTTTGGTTTGGACCACAGGGTGGAGAGGCAGGAGGGAAGTCCTGTCTCTGCACCTTGTAGCTCTCCTGGAGGCACCAGTCCTCTGGCTGCAGCGTGCAGGATGGCTCCATCCTCTGCAGTCACAGGCAGCAGAGCTGCTGGGCATCTCTGGTGAAGGGATGTCATCTCCCTCCTGCTCCTCCTCCCCACTGCGTGTACCTGCTCAGTGCCAGGGTCATAGGATCACAGAATCAGCCAGGTTGGAAAAGCCCTTTCAGCTCATCCAGTCCAACCATTCCCAGCCCTCCCTGGCACTGAGGCCTCGGCTCCACGGGCTGTGAACACTTGCAGGGACGGTGCCTCCAGCCCTGCCCTGGGCAGCCTGTTCCAATGCCTGAGCACCCTCTGGGCAAGGAATTGTTCCTCAGCTCCAGCTAAACCTGCCCTGGGGCAGCTTGAGGCCGCTTCCTCTTGTGCCATCCCTTGTTCCTTGGGAGCAGAGACCAGCCCCCTCCTGGCTCCATCCTCCTGTCAGGCAGTTGCAGAGAGCGATCAGGTCCCCCCTGAGCCTTCTCCTCTCCGTTGGAGGGATGTGCTTTGGTGGGAAGGCTGGGATGAAACTCCACAGCTTCTGGCGTGACTCAGTGCTCAGAGCAAACACTCAACTACTTCACCTTGCAGATTGCAGACGAGGCAGCTCTCCTTCCTGTGGCCTTCTTCCCGAGCCTGGAGGAGCTGACGTTTCACAACAACCCTCTTACCACCACCCGGAGCGGTACAGTATGAGCCCTGCTCTGTGGGGAGCTCCTCCTCCACTGCTAGCTCTCTGGGACAGGGACCACGTTGCCTTTTGGTGTTTTGGTGTTTGGACACTCCTGCCCTGGCCCCATGGAGATGCTTTAATCATTTCTGCTCTCTGATGAGCAAAGCTGCTCTGGCAAACACTGCTGCTGCCCAGCTGCTGCTCCTGGCCCCATTGAAGTCCTTAACAGCTCATCCAGGACTGCAGCAGTGAAGACTCAGGCTAAATTTTGCTCCCTAAATGGTGTTTATCCCACAAAGGGCTGGTCTGAAGCTGGTTCAGGTTTATTCCTGCAGCAGCTTTCTGGGCAGAGGGGATATACCCTAGATGTGCCCATGGCCATGATAGGACACCTTTGAAGGCAGCCAGAAGGACACTGATGAAACTCTGCAGTGATGTTCCTCCCTGCACAAGCTACAGGCAGACTAGTTACTAAAACTAAGGTCAGGACTCTGGTTTCGTGGCATGTAGCTCAGGCTGCTTTGTGTCCTTAGGGCTAAAGCATCTCCCTACAACACAAGGTGGCTTCTACTCTTGTCCCTGAGCAGAGCCATGCTCTGTGCCGAGCCTGGGGGTAGGTGGCGCAGTTGCTGCCAGCTAAGGAGCAGGCAGGGGCTCTCCAACCTCTGTTTTCCAGGGCAGCCACCTCTGCTGACCTGGCTCCTCCAGCACAAGCTGGGCATTAAACTTGTCCGACAGAAGAGCCCGGCCGCGGCGAGGTGGCACTTCTCCATCCCGCTCAAAGCCAGCCGCAAGGTAAGGAGGGATGTGCATCGGGATCACCCTCACTGCAGTACTCAGGATAGCACAGGAAGAGCTGGTGGGACACATGGATCCCAGCAGGGTTGGAGGGAAAGGTGGAAAGGGTTGGAGGTATTCCGATCAGGATGAGGATGGGGAATCTGACTGCTTGTTGCTGCCCCACGCAGGGTTTGTCACAGGGCTTCTGGGATAATCCTGTCCACCAGCCTTGGATGAGGGATCCTATGGGATTGAAGATGCTGCTGGGTGTCCAGGGTCTTGGACATTGTCCTGATCCCATAAGGACAAGCCTCCAGCATTAGACCTGACCCCACTCTGTAACACTCATGGACCATGCACGGATGTCCCTTGTGTCCCCCCAGGTCACGTCACATCTCCCCAAAGTCACAAAGCGGCCGTGGATGCTGGAAGCTCCTGCCAAGACCTTTCTGAGGACACAGCTCCCATCTGCAGTGGAGGCTGTGGGAGATGCTGCACCCCCAGGTCCAGCCCAGCCACTGCTCCCCAGCAGCTCCGTGACCCCAACCAGCAGCCAGAGGGTGGTGCTGGGGGAAGAGGAAGGTGGCTCCAGGCCTCCTGCGGGCTCAGATGAGGAGGACGTTGCATCCTTCTTCATGACGCAGGTGAGGCCAAGCTGTAAGTGCTTAGGTTTGCCCAGAAATGCTCCATAGATAGATACATCTTCATTTCGCAGCTGAATCCTCTGGGTACATCCTCTGGGTACCAGGGGTTATAACCCTCCTTGGATTGTAAGGGATTTAGGGAAGAATCCCTTGGGTTGCAAGGGATTTAGGGAAGGAAGCACTAGCAAGAAGCATAAATGCAATACGTGCCCGAGAACAAGAACTTGGCCCATTTTCAGGGTGGCACGGCCCTCTGGTGGGCAGCTGCAACTGCAGGAGCTCAGCATTCCAGCAGCATCCCTGCAGCATCAGCTGGAAAACTCCCTCCTGGAGCTCACCAGGGCAGCTTTTTGACTTGATTTCTCTGGAAATCTTGGGATTGTCAGGGAAAAAGAAATCTGCAGCAGGATGGGGATGGCCCCTCTCTCCTCTGTGCCTGGTCACACCGAGTAGAGATGGGATGAGGTGGTGGCTGCATGGCTTGGTGCCATGGGGAGACTGGCCACAGCAGGACAGGCTGAGGACTGACTCCAGCAGCTTCCCTGGTAAGAAAGAGCTGCTGTGAATGCCTTTATTTTGCTGCTTTGAGGTGGAGGATGTGTCCAGACCCCTGCAGAGACCCAGGGCAGGGGCCAGGCTGGAGAAGAGGAGTGAGCAGAGGGAGGAAGGGAGCTCCCAGGTGGTTCCAGAGCAATACAAAGGCTACGAGGAGCTGCTCGGTGGAGACACGGACCCGGATTTTATCGAGCCAGTTGGTGAGCGCAGACAGCAGAGAGCTCCTGCTTAGGAAAGCCTTAAACCTCCTCCAGCCCCAACCCCTGCCCCGGGCAGGGACCCCTTCCACTAGAGCAGGTTGCTCCAAGCCCCTGTGTCCAACCTGGCCTTGAACACTGCCAGGGATGGGGCAGCCACAGCTTCTCTGGGCACCCTGTGCCAGCGCCTCAGCACCCTCACAGGGAAGAGCTTCTGCCTCAGAGCTCATCTCAATCTCCCCTCTGGCAGGTTCAAGCCATACCCCTTCTCCTGTCCCTCCACCCCTTGTCCAAAGCCCCTCTCCAGGTCTCCTGGAGCCCCTTTAGGCCCTGGAGCTGCTCTAAGGTGTCCCCTTGAGGAGCCTTCTCTTCTCCAGCTGCCCCAGCCCAGCTCTCTCAGCCTGGCTCCAGAGCAGAGCTGCTCCAGCCCTCGCAGCAGCTCCGGGGCCTCCTCTGGCCTCGCTCCAGCAGCTCCGTATCAGCAGAAGCAACAAAGACTTTTGTTGTCCCATTTTCCCTCTGGTTTGCAGGGATCCAGAGGAACGTGCAGGCTCTGTACCAGGTCCTGAACCACCCTCTGGTGTACCGGGATGCCAGAGCACGGCTGGACTGTGTGCAGAAGCCCTACGTGCCTCGGAGAAAGGTAAAGAGCTGAAGCTCCAAAGGGAGACTGGTTGTGTCTGGATCTGGATCAACCCACGTGTTTGGATGGATGCTGAGAGCCTGTGCATGGGCTTGGCCCCATTTCCCAGTCCCTGCTCCTCACTGTTCTCTCTCCCTCATGGCTGTGGTGTGTTGGTGTGTGGAGACCCCGTGGGAAGCCAGCCCTGACCCAAGGGAAGTGGAGAAAACAGCCTTCAAGATGGGTCTGTGGGGTGGGGTGTAGTAGAATCACAGTCCCTGCATCCACTGTGGAAAGCTGATCCACTGCTCCTCAATAAGCTTAAATTGGTGTCTAAACCACACCAGCTTGGTCCAAAATAACCCCAGGGGACCATCTCACCTCCCTCGTGCAGAAGCACAGGCCCATGTTGGTCTGTGTGGAGGGTTATCAACCTGGAGATGGAGGGGAGACACGCTGCGGCCTCCTGCTCTTCCTTGCAGCACGTGAGGATGCCCGGCCCTCCTGCCCGGAAGACAAAAGCCGAGATCCTGGAGGGAATTCTGGTGGCCATGAGAAACACCTTGACCTTCACTGAGGTCCCCTTGGGTATGTTCCTGCATCCCCAGTAGCTCTTGTTGATGGCACCACAGTGGCAGGAGAAGGACGGGGACACAAAGGTGTCCTTGAGCACCAGAGTGTGGCTGAGATGGGAATGGAGGGTCCCCTCATGTCCCTGCACAAGAACAAGGCTGAATGCCCTCAGCCCACCATGAAGTTGGACCCCAATGCTCCAGCTACTGCTTAACAGAGGAGTAAATGCAACACGGACACTGCTGGGGTCCCTTGGTTCCATATCTGGATTAACCCATCCCAAACCCATCTGGTGGGAGAACAGCCTTGGAGCTAAAGTGGTTTTGCCCCCAGGCTGAAGCAGGACTTGGGTCTCTGAGCACTGGCCATGTCTTATCTCCATCCCACCCCTGTGGTGGTACAATCCTGAACTGCTGGTGCAGGCAGGACCTGGCTGCTCCCTGGTGCTGTCTCTTTGCCCTGGACCTAGCAGGGAACAGAGGAGGCGCTGCCAAGGCTTGAGCCCAGTTGCTCAAGACCTCCAGAGCCTTTGCTTTTGAGGCTTCTGCATCTCCCATGGGCACCGGGATAGAGCAGAATCCCAGCAGCCACCTTCATGTCCCTGCCATGGTGACACCCCCCATCCTGTGGGGATGGGAAAGAGCTGGGACACGGGAGGAAGGATGAGATATTGCAGTCAAGGAGCCATCCCATTGCTCTGCTCACACCCTTGGCCTTTTCCAGCGTCTGTTCTGCAGAGGAGGAAATCCAGCCCCAGGGCATACCGGGAGGCACGGAGGCTGATGAAGGAATTCCAGGAGGTGTTTGAGATGTCTCTCCTTGTCCAGGGCATGGCCAAGCCATTGGCTGAGGCACAGATGGCAAAAGCCCTTCCCTCAGAGGCAACATCCAACCCGCCCCAAACAGGTACAGCTGCCAGGAAGGAGGGTGACCAAGAAGGTGCCCAGACTTTAGTAGAGCCAGTGTAGACAGGACTTGAATAAAGCATCCTTTTGGATACATGTATGTTTGGAGCCATTTTTCCCCTCTTGAGGTTGGAAAACCCAACATGGTGGCAAGATTCATCTCAGGTTTTCAGGCAGTGACTTCCACCTTGGAAACATGGATACAGCCCCCACAGTGCTAACACAGCACATGGAAACCTTGTCTGCTCACGGCTGTGCTCCGCAGTCCCTGGAAAATCAGGTGTGTGCTCACCCATCCTCATCA